TCTGTTTCTTCATGATGCAGTCTTAGGTTGTATGTTTCTAGGAATTTATCCGTTTCTTCCAGGGTGTCCAGTTTGATGGCATATAGTTGTTCATAGTAATCTCTTACGATCCTTTGTATTTCTGTGGTATTAATTGTAATGTCTCCTCTTTCATTTACAGTTTTACTTATCTGGGTCCTCTCTTTTTTCTTTGTTAGTGTTGCTAAAGGTTTGTCATTTTGTTTGTCTTTTCAAAGAACCAACTCTTAGTTTTGTTAATCTTTTCTGTTGTTTTTCCTGTTCTCTATTTCACTTATTTACCAAATAAATTGGCCCTTGAATGAAGGGAAGGCCTTGAGGAAGGACCCTGCTACACAGTCAAGAATGTATACTGTCAATCTTCCTTCTAGTTTTCCCCTAAAAGAACCTCTGGCCGTTTACCAGAGTGATTGTGCATTGAGGAAGAGGAAACACTTTTGGGGGAATTACTGGACACTGATGCTGAACTGACAGGAATTCCTGGAGATATAAAACATCACTGTGATTCACCAGAGTAAGGGCTTTTGGATATTAGATAATCCATGGAGTTTTGGCTCAGGCCCATCTCTGCAGTGGGCCTAGAGGGTCCCCATATCCAGCTTGTAGTTATTTCTCTAGTTCTGGAATGCATAGTGGGAATAAACATAACTCAGCAGCAGGCAGAATCCCCATAACAATACTCCATCATCAAATAGAAGTTATATTTATAAGAGTGAGCTCCAGTAGGTCCTGAAGGCACAAGTAAGTTTCTTGGGCAGTTTTCCATTGCTGCCATAGCAAATTAGCACAAATAGAGTGGCCTAGAACACTACCCGTTTTTTATCTCACATTTCTGTAGGTCAGAAGTCAAGCGTGCTTGGCTGGATACTCTACTTAGGATCTCATAAGGCTTAAATCAAGGTGTTGGCTGGCCTGAGCTTTCACCTGTAAGCTCTGAGTGAGAATGCACTTCCAGGTTCATTCAAGTTGTTGGCAGAATGCAGTTCTGGTTGTAGGAATGAAGTACCCTTTCTTTGGTGGTTGTCAGATGGCAGTTGTTCTCAGCTGCTAGAGGCTAGTGCATTCCTTAGTTTGTGGTCTTCTCTATCTTCAAAGTGAGCAATGGTGTGTCAAGTCCTTCTCATACTTCAAATTTCTCTGACTCCTCCTTCTTTCTTATCTCTCTGATTTCCTCTTCTGATTTTAAGAGCTCATGTGATTACATTGGATTCACCTAGATAATCCAGGATAATCTCCCTATTTTAAAATCAGCTGATTAGCAACCTTAATATATCTGCAAAGTTCCTTTTACCATCTAACATAACATCATCACTGGTGTGACACCAGAGGGCAAAGGTCATGGGGCCAGAATTCTGCCAATATTTATTTATGTATATATAAATATGATATACATCATATATAAGGATATATATGAATTTTTCTCTTCTGCCATTCCTATACCGTTGAAAATAAGATGTGTTAATAGTAGTTAACCATGTATATCAGTACTTAAATTAGAGGTATAAACATCATCCAGTGACCTAATATCAGACCAGATGTAACAGCCTTATGTAGCCTTCTCTAGCAGCTTCTTTAATAGCATAAGGTCTAATTCTTACAATAATTCCCTTGCTGAGTGATCCCAGACCAATACAATATTTTTAATCATTTTGGAGAAGTTCTCAGCCATTATCTTTTCAGATGTTGCTTTTACCCCATTTTCTACCACCTCTACTTCTGACACTTCAGTTTTATGTATATGAGACATTTTCTCTTTTATCCTCTTTCTTCTGTGTTTTTCTCGTGTGTCTCTGTTTCATTCTTAATATTTTTTTCTGACCTTTTATTTAACAAATTCTTTTCAGCTCTGTCTTACCTGCTATTAAATCCATTCACTGAGTTCTTAATTTTTTTCCTGTATTTTCTTTTCTAGAATTCTTAATTGGTCCTCTTTTTAATAGTTCTTTACTGAAATTCTTAATTTTTTCCTAGTCTAAATATTTTAAGGATAATTATTTAGAAGTCTCTGTCTGATACCTCTGTTATCTAGATTTGCTGAAGATCTTTTTATGTTGCACATTGTTTCTTTTGGCATTCGCATTGTTTCTTTTGGCATTCGCTAACGTGGTCTCCTCCCCTAGTGTGCCTCATTGTTTTTGCTTGAGCGCTAGACATTGTATATAAAAAGTTGTATAGCTAATTTGAGACCTCGAATTACATTATGTCCTCTCAGAGAGTTACTCTGATGGGTAACTAGGGGGGTATTAGCAAATCCTTTTTGCTTTAATCCAATTTCACACATTTAGATGGTTCAGAGCTAGGATTCAGTGTTGGAAAAAGCATTCTATTTCCAGTTTGTGCGTATTCTTAGAATGTCGCCCTGGGGCTGGCTCGGTGGCTCAAGAGGTTAAGTGCGCGTGCTCCGCTGCAGCAGCCCAGGGTTCGCCGGTTCGGATCCCGGGCATGCACCGACGCACCGCTTGGCAAGCCATGCTGTGGCGGTGTCCCATATAAAGTGGAGGAAGATGGGCATGGATGTCAGCCCATGGCCAGTCTTCCTCAGCAAAAAGAGGAGGATTGGCAAATGTTAGCTCAGGGCCGATCTTCCCCCCCCCCCCCCCAAAAAAAGAAGAATTTAGCCCTGAAAGGCCCCAAATCAAAGTATATAGTGTTTATGAGATTATCCTTCTCCCCTTTTGTCCTCCTAGTCCTACAAGATACAGGAAGCCCTCCTGCCTACATCTCAGCCACTTCTTCCAGAGAAAAATTACCCCAAATGCCAAGTTACATCTCTGGATTTCCTCTTTTATTTGGATCTTGCTTCCATAGTTTTTCACTGCCTGTTGGCTCTCTGATGCCTTCATTTAGATTTAAAAAAAACATATTGTCCAGCTTTTCTAGTTGTTCCCCTTAGCTAGAGAGAGGTAGAGCAACATTTTTGATGGGGTAACTGTCACTTCTCTTTTGTCCGCCACTGTGTGTGTTGTGGGGTTAGACCTGTCTCCCCGTTTCTTGCTATGTGAAGGTTCCCAATGTCTCAGCACAGTATGTCTTTTTTTCCTCAGAGTTACCATCAGCTGACAATTGGTGGTGCTGATATAAAGCATTGTAGTATGTAGGGTACGTATTGGGGGAAGATGCAAGAAAGCTGTGTCTTGCAGCTATGGGAAATCAGGAAAGGGATCTTGGAAGATTTCTTTAAACATTAGTGCAGAGAATGTGCATTTAGATGAGGAGGTTGCATTGACTAGGCTGCCCCAAGAAGGCTGTCTCTTTTGAATGAGAAGGCCTTCATCCGAAAGGGGGTATGATTATACTGCTAGAGTGATATAAAACAATGGCCCAGAGCAGAGAGAAAACTGCTTGAAAATACTAAGTCAGAAGGAGCCTAAACTGGACAGTCCATGTAGAGGGAGCCTACTGCATAGTCATCAGCAACTGTGTGTTCCCAGTTTAAAGAAGTGATGGCCAAGACTTCCATTTTCAACTTTCACTGATGTATAGACAGTTACTTAAACAAACTCCTTTTCATACTCTTCACTCCCTTTTGTTACAATCACCATCACCAAGAGTGAGTACAGATGAATGGGACAGGAAAAAGTAGAAGAGGGAGAGAGAGAAAAAGAGAGGAAAAAAAATCACAGTTCCTTTGCCTGCAGTTGACAGCAGGTGGGTGAGAACTTCACCTGAGTGTTGAGCTGAACTAAACTAATAATAATATTTACATGTGATTGAATATACAAAAGAAGACCTTTTAGGTTGAAAGGGAGTGAAAAAATGTCTAATGTGGCCTGAGAAATGATTAGAAAAGATAGAGGCACTATTAAATGGCAAACCTTAACTTTCCTTTCTCACTTGGAAAGCAAAGTCACTACTGGTTAAGCTGTTTGATGAGTTCTTTGGCTGTCTCTAGACTGCTATTAAGTCCATCTTTCTTTTATTTTTTTCCAAGATCTCCTTTTGATTGTTTTGATAATCACTGTACTTGTGTTAAAACATCCTATTCTTGTTATGTGGATGTGAGTCCTTCCTTTATTTCTCTGAAGATCTTAAATATATTTATTTTGTGATTCTTTTCTGATTGTTCTATTAATTATATTTTCTTGGGTACAAGTTATTCTATTTGTTAGCTTTATTGGATTCATTTGTTGACATTCCTCACACGTTTTCTTATTCCTGGTTGTGAGCTTATCTTCTTCTACAGAGTACTTTTCCCAGTGTCTTGATCTGGGATTGCTCTCACTAGGGTGGCTGCTTCCCTGTTTCTTTCTTCTTGGTGTGTCTTATGGCCCCTAACCAAAGAGAATTTCCTTTCTTATTTTTAATGTGATTATATATTCACTAATCTATATTTTCTATTGTTGAAATATAATTTCTCCAGGTTTTATATGGAGAAGAGGTAATTTCTGTTATCTTGAAGAGTCTAAATTCTTTGACATATAATACCTAGACCAAGTATGACACTGTTTCTCTTAGCAAATCATTAGGAGTTTTTCCTCATAAGCTACTTTAGGAAAAGAACATGTCAGCATTGTTTTTAAAGGACCCAAATCTCTTACACAGAATAGAGCACTTAATATGGTGGCTATGATGGCAGTTATGTGAGAAAAAAATGCATGCGCATGGACTAGAAACCTGCCAAAATGGAAAGTATTTTATTAAGGCAGTGAACTTATGGATGACTTTTTTCTCTTTTGGCATTCCAGAATTTCCGTAATATTATATTGTTTTTTTAAAGAGGACATAATTTTTGATTATATATTCTAAATCATTTTTAAAAAGTCATGTGACTTATGCTGACCCCCATTAGAGTACACAATTGCCTATAGGACAGAGTTAAAACTCCTCAGCTAGATATCCCCGAAGCTTTTCACAGATCTGTTCCCAAATTCCTTCTCTTCTTATCTCCCTCTGTTTTCTTATGCCTGTTCTAGTCCAGTCTTGTCCCCTATTCTTGACATAGATGCTGCTAATTGCTGCTACAGATTGAAACACTTTTGCAGGGTCGTTTTTCTAGGTACAGGAGACTGGTTCTACTGGTCCATTGTTTTGCTGAGTTTCCTTGGGATCCTGACTGCCTACTCTTCATTGCTGTTGGTGAGTAATGTTTCCCATTTCTCCCACTCCCTCTCTGAGTAGCCTCATGAGGTGCTCCAGTCTGTGGTATGGTACCCAATTGGTGCTGGGAGCCCTCAGAACCTAAGATCACTCTTGTCTTAGCAGAGTTGGGATTTCCATCAGCTACTTGAATTTCAGGCATGAGGGATAGATGGAGGAAAAAAAGGCTTGTGCTATTAGAGGATGTGTCTTGCCATTTTAACCCCTTGAAAGAGTGGCAGAACATCCTTTTTCTATTTCCATGTTTCATAGCCTATTTTATGGTTCACTCAGTATTGTCATTTTAGATACCCACAACTTCACATTAGCAGTACCTTTACACATTGAACTACCTCATTTCATATCCCATCTCCTGAGAATCAGTCTTTCTGGGCTTTACAAGTTAGCTGGTTTGTTAAACCTGTTCTGATGTGCAAGTGCTAGTCCTCTAGTCCAGGTGCAAAGTACATTTTAGCAAAAGTCTTTTGGCGATAATGACCTTGCCTCTATTTCCTGACATAATGATGTCATGTAGTGTGAAAAATCAGGCCACACAAAGAGAAAAGTCTGTGGGAGTGGAAAGCTTATGGGAGGATAACTCTTAGGTAATTGGAGTTTTTCAGTGCCCACTTATACATAGGGCATATATATCGTTCTCTGGAATTTCACAATTCCTTGTCCCCACTGACTTCCTGTCTGATACAGAAGAACCCAACCCCTAAATCAGTGCCATTTGCATGAGTTTTTTCTTTCAAAAAAATTTATTAATCATTATATGAGTGGTTAGTATTGAGTATACAGAGATCAACAAAGCACTTGCAGTTTCTGATTTCATGCAGGGCACTTCAAAGAGATAAGTATGAGCTATAAAGTTACAATAGTCCCTTAATTCAATGAATTTAGAATCTAGTAGGGCAACTAAGTCATAGACAAAAATAGCTAACACAAGCAGAGCATTATAATTGTCATTATAGAGGCCTAAATAAAGTTCTGCATGGGTTCTGAGAAGGAATAGGTGACTTCTAGCCAAGAGGATTAAGTAAGACTTCTTGGAAGAGGTGGCACTGGAGTGGAATCTTAAAGGGATGTTGGATTTGGACATGTGTATATGAGGATAAGGAAGAACATTCCAGGCTGTGGAAACATCATAACAAAGTTGGCAAGACAGAAAAATATGGGGTGTGACTAGATAAGAAGGAAAGGTCCGTTCTGTTAACGTGTAGGGCATAATGAAGAATTAATGGGGAATGTGGCTAAAAAGAGGCTTGTGACAGATTTTGGAAGGGCTGGAAAGTAAGGCTAAGACATTTGGCATAAATCAGATTTCTACATTAGGAAAATCATCCTGGAAGTTGTGGTGTGGAAGGTGGCTATCGGCAGAGAGACCAGTTAGAAACTTATCCTTTTAATGGGGAAAATACAAATAAAGGCTATGCTCTGGGCCAGACTCTGCCCACTGAATTGTAGTGCTTTCATACACAATAAATATGAAATGGTCTAGTTGCTTCTAAGGCATGAATGAGTTCTAGTGTCCAATAAGGCAATATATTTTAATAAACTTTCTGCTTTACCGTACCTCTTTTTGGATACATGCAATGGCAACAACAGTGAACAAAGAGGGAGACCGAGGTTCTATTTCCAACTCTGTCTTTAGGTTGCTTGGTAGCCTTAGTCAAGTCATATAACTCTTCTGAGCCTCGGTTTCTTTTCTTTCAAATGAGAATGATAAAAATATTTAATAAAGTGGTATTTTATGGGGCCGGGTAAAGAAGAAATGAAATCATATACACAAAATTATTTTGATAAAAAGGTAAGTATCTTATATATTCAAACTCTCATTAATACCCTAAGTATCTGAGGACTCCAGTTGTCAGTTTCCATCTCCACACTGATTTGGTGACTGACTAGATTTAGATTCAAATCTAATATTTATTGACTAAATACCAGTGTTAACAACAGTGCTTAACAGTTGTAACAACGGCACTGGTTCCTCAAGAAAGAGCTTTTAAATGACCATTGGAAGGGCTGGCCACCGGCCTCTGTTCTCTCATAAGTGTGTTTAAGTAATACCAGGCATAAGATCCATCACAAGGAAAAGAAATTGGTGGGAACTTAGGAACGGAATGTGTGGTGATTGTTATGAAATCCCAGAGAAGATAATAATTAATTCCTCCTGAAGGTGCTGGTGAAAGTTACAACAGGAGGTAACATTTGAACTGGCTTTGAAGGGTCAGTGGCATGGGGAAGGAGCGCTTTTCAGGCAGGGGAACAGCATGACAAACTCCCAGAGGCTGAAAAGTACAGGTATGGCAAGAAGTGAATGTAGTGTCAGACTGTGAAAGGAATTTTGAGCTACAGAACAATGCTTTGGGCAGCAACTTGGTGATTTCAAAATAACCTCCTTTTTCTTTGCTTTTTCAGTTACTTGGATTTTTGTTGATTTGGGAAGGGAGTGAACTATATCTGCACTGGTTTCATAAGGTAGGACATCTGAATCTTCTTAGGGTACCTTAGACCAGGACTAAATGTGCCTCTTTGGCACTCAGTGTTAAGTATATAGTTGCCCTTTCTTTCATTGTTCTCCTTAGAGAGAAGAGTTCTACTTACATTGTTTTAACTAAAATCATTAAATTTCTATTAGATGTACCGATTTACTAAAGGAGCTGAACCCAAACTTTATTTTTTCTCACCACTCCTTGTTAAACTCACTCTGTGACTCTGTTCTTTCCATCCAAATAAAATCTTAGGCAAGCTTCCTTACTTTCCCAGTCCTTTATAGACACAAGAACATTCTCATTTCAGTCATTAAAGATTTCAGTTCATTGTAATAACCCAAACTCCAACTTTATAAGAACCTTTCCCCTCCTCTATTTGGGCCTGATCCGGGCCTGGAAGCCTGCCGTGGTGGAGGGAGCATGATGGTCCTTTACCTCTCTTCCACCAGAGGAGGGCCCAGGGAAAGAGGAGATAGGATGAAAGAACACAGTCCCGCAAGGAAGGGCAAGAGGGTCATTTGGGGTTGGTTCCGTCAGGACCAGGTAAATGCTCAGTTGTTCGCTGCTTGCCCCCTGGGCTTTTTCTATATGTATTTTCAGAGACCCCTCTGCTGAGAACTTTAACTGCAACTCTCTTGGTGGAGTCATTACCTGTCTTTCTATGCCCCCTGAAATTTCTCTGTTCAGGTTTTTTTGACCTTCCCTTAGTTTAGAACCCTTTAAAATGACATCTGCGTGGTTTCTTTCGAAGGATCCATATCTGGTCCCCAGAAAGCAGGCATCTTTGCCCATGATCTGTGGACATACAGCTCATTTCCATAATAGCCTCCCTCATTTCGTTCTGCCATGGGCTTGAGCACCTCCAGCCACAGCCTCTTGCTTTTTTAAAGACTTTTTCAGGCATTGTTTTGATACCATTCCTTGTGTTTTCTCAAATCCAGGAACATGTCAAACTCTCTAAATGGTCCCCTTAAATTTCCTCTTACTCAAATAAGAAGTATGAACTGGAAATATAAATTTAAGAGTTATTAGAACAGATGGAAATTGAGTCATAAGATTTTATAGCGAGAGACTGTAGATTAGAGATGAACAAACAGGGCTTATTGAGATCACCATCTGTTTGGAGTTGGGACACCAGGATCAGTTAGTCACTACCAAGAACCCCTGTGGGTTAACCATCCTTACTACCATTTCAGGCGTGTGCCTGTTATAGAAACTGTGCTTACCCTGCCTCTGGCAGTTAGTGCTGGGACTTGGCCTCTGCCACAGCAGGATCTGATCATTGCCTTTGAAATCAAGCAGCCAATTTCAGTGGTAGCATCTCTCGCCTTTATTCAGGCATAGAGAATAGCCACTACAGCGCTTTTCAAGGATGCTGACATTTTCCTCCCCAGTGTATTTTTCAGTGTCCTCTGAGACCTCCGATAGAACCTGATAGGGAGTAAGTTAGCTGATCATAAGTGATGGCATTCCAGCAACCTTTTCTCAACAAATCTTTGGATTCTTTCTTCTATATTACACCAAGAAATTGCTGGCATCTCAATTTCATTAAGCATAGGCCACTATTGAGCCAAGGTTTCAGATAACCAAACAATTAGAACCATTTTAAAATGCATGATATTTGGATTCTGGTATATTGACTTCAGAATCTCTGGCAAGCGCACTCATATCAATAAATTTAGCCTGATCTAAAATTATGTTCTTTTCTCTTTGTCTAGCACCCTTAGGATACATTCTCACACATATTCTACAGGGTTTTTGTCAATATAAATTAACAAGCCTTCATCTCTTGAGGCATTCTGGGATCTAATTCCAGTGATAGTCTGTAGGCAATGAGAAGTGATGGAAGTGGCATATGAGAAGAGTTGGCATCCCCTTGGAAGGCCCAACCTTGGTTGGCCCTTCAAACTATGAAGGACTAGGCTTAGCAGACTTGAAAGGAGAGACTGCTGCTATTGTCAAGGGAGATTTTGTAGGGCTTGGAGTTTGAGTTTTAGTGTACTCAGGATAAACCCAGAAGGAGAGGGTTAGCACCAGCCTATATCCCATTCCCCTTCTAGGTAGGAGTGCTCAGAGAGGAATGAATGACCTTAATCAAAACTCCCTGTAAACGTGCTAATAACCCAACCTTCTGGTAGACACACTAAAGATATTTATTACCCAAAAAATAATGGAGAGTCCTTACCTATGAAAATTTCTAGCAGGATATAATCTGGTATATTTGGCTTGCTTATTGTGAATAAACATGGAATTTATGGATTTGTAGGGTGGGAGACGTGGCTGCCTGGAATTATATAATTAATGGGATATAAGATAAGGATGCTCCATAACCAAAAAGGCTCCTTCTGTGAAGCAATGTTTCGACATACTTTGTGCAAAACACACCTCACATTTTAAGTCCAAGACCAAAATGTATCCTAACACAGGAGAGGAAAGACCTTTTTATGAGTAGCTGCATTTGACAGGATCAGATTTCACCAAAGGAAAATCTTGTATCTGTACCTTATAATTGCCTGTATCCTTTAAATTATTAGTAAAGTTTGCTGTTGGGTAAGATCACAGAATCACATGAGATTCATGTGAATCTGATTTGACAATCAAACCTTTGTGTTGTGATACCTTTGATTTGCTAGTAGGTTATTTAAGATGTTTGCATTTATGTACATAGGAGAGATTGGCTTATACATTTTCTTTCTTGTAATGCCCTTGTTGAGTTTGGGTATCAGTGTTTTATTGGCTTCATAAGACAAGTTAGAATGTGTTCTATCTTTTTCTGTTCTCTGGAAGAGTTTGTTAAAGATTGGAAATATTCCTCAAATGTTTGGTAAAATTAACCTTGAAAGCCAGTAAGGCCTGAAGTTATTTTGTGAGAACGTTTAATTATGGATTCAATTACTTTAATAGGTATAGAGATTATGGAAAGGAGGGAACTAAGCACTCTCTAGAGGGCAACACAGATGTAGAAAAACTATACATTTAAAGGGGAAGAAATTAAAGTTATGTCTTCTTGCTCTCAATGTTCTTTCTCTATGAAATAGTGTTCTGGCAGGCAGATTTTTTTCATCTGTTCAACAATATTTATTGGATGCTTACTATGTGTCAGACGTTCTGCAGTGCAGTGAGGATATAATCATAAACAAATATTGTCCTTGACCTCATGAAGCTTATAGTGTGTTGGGGAAAACATACATTGAAAAGGCGATTACAAAATATTATTTACTTGTGATTGCATTGAGTCATATAAAAAAGGTAGTGAATATTTGTAATGGCCGTTGTTAAAATTGAGCGAGAGATGCCAAGCAATGTTGAGGGCCCTGTTGAGACTAGAGATGATAAATTTTAAAGGCGTCAGACCACATAGCTGTGTAATTTTTTTCTAGCCATGCTCTACAGTAAAGACTTGGGAGCAAAGAAGGTGAATGATTGGATCCATCCAGTATTGGGGATTTGCAGGATGGTTAGTTTAAAGGGACGAGGAGATGAGGTCCTTGACATTGTGGGGACACACGTACAATTCTCAAAGACAGTTCTGATCCAAGCCTAGTGCCTGGAAGTCAGGGGATTCTTTCTGTTTCCCTAGATCCTGACTCTGCTAGTGATTCTGCTATGCTTGTGTCTTATGTGGATTTTATGCATGCACTGGAAAGACAGGTGGCTGACAGCTGGGCTTTCACTGAAGGTAAGTGTCATCCTGTAGGTCTGGCCCTGTCTGTCCAGATGTGTTCAGCCTGACTTTTGGCTTTCTCTCAGGTCTTTGCTCCCTACATACACCTGAGCAGCATAACTGTGATGGTTCTCCTTTCCTGGCCTGTGGCCTTCTACTTAATCCATTGGGAAAGAGAAGGTATGTCATGTGGGTGGAACCTTGCCTGATCCTTTCAGTTCTGGCTTGAGCTTTCATACGCCACTCAGCAAAACATAAGCTTGGCAGATAGTCACCGCTGGACCTCTTTGAAATTCGTTTAGCTTGTTACTCAGGCATGCTTCTTGTGGTCAAACTCACAACCCTACGTGGCTTGTCATAGCATTTCCCTGATCAAACAGACCTTTGTCTAAAGAGGGATTCTCCTTCTAGAAAAATAAGAATTTTCTGTATTTTGTTACACATTGACTGTCTGGGAATGGATTGGGGTGGGGTCAGGTGGTAGAGGACATTTTAATTTCATTTAACCAGAGTAATGGTACAAGTCACAGTTCTTTTAGTTTGTATTCAAATATTACTAGTTTTAACTAATGAACTTATACTAGGTCCAGATATTCTTGGTTACATTCTTTTTTTTTGTCAAAGAAATGACCTGGGGTGAGGACACCACACTTTTTTTTTTTCTCCCCAAAGCGGCAGTACATAATTCTAGAGTTGTGGCTCCTCTGTGTGGGATGCTGCCGCAGCGTGGCTTGATGAGCGGTGAGTAGGTCCACACCTAGGATCCGAACCAGCAAACCCTGGGCTGACGAAGCAGAAGGCACGAACTTAACTGTTACGCCACCAGGCCGGCCCTTCTGGTTACATTCTAGTGACTTAAACCAGGCCCCTGCAGAAATGTCTACCTCTGCCGCTAGTTTCCCCTCCATTCTTTGCCCTAATATCATGGAAACAAAAGAGAATCAGAGCTGTACACTAAATTGTTTTGAGAATGGAGTTATCTCTCAGCACCCTTACTGTGAAACCAGTAAGATCTTCTCTCTGTGTGTCTCTTTTTACTGTTGGTTAAACAAGGAGTGTTTGCTTCCTGACTTGTGCAAGGATGCAGGCAAGAGAAAGACTGGATTGGTAGTGTTGCCATTGTGTTTGTAAATGTGTGTATATGTATGTGGAGGGTGAATTGTAGGAAATGTCTCTGGAAATGTTATCTTAAAGAGGACGACAGTGAAGTCTTTTCTTTTTCATTTCTTAAAATTTAGCTAGAATCAGAAGATACAAGATGACAAGTTATGAGAGGAAAAGAATGAAGAGATGTGATAGACTCGTAAAGTTGAGAGGTTAGAGCTGGAAATCTAGATTTGAAAGTGACTGAAGCATAGGTGGGAACTTAAAAATGTACAAATGGGTAAAATCCTCAGAGGTCTAAGATAGTAAGCATTGGGGAATGGCCAGTGATAACAGGTATTGTGGACAGACTGTGTGTGTGTGTGAGAGAGAGAGAAGCAAATACCTAGTAGTTACTGAATAGTTATTGATAACCAATAGTTTTATTCAATAACCAATAGTTATTGAATTATGAATCAACACTGTCATAAAGTCTATGAGGCAGGTGTTAGCAGCAAGATAGCCCCATTTTTCAGAGAGAAGAAAATGAAGACCCAGAGAAGTTAAGCAACATGTCCTTAGTCTCACATTTAGAAAGTGGTAGAGTTTGGCTTTGAACTCAGATTTCTGTCAACTAGTGCCCCTTCCACTATACTGTACTAAAATACAGGGGCATTTTAGGCTAATCTTTACAGGCTGATCTTTCAAAACTTTCTCAGAACCAGCCAAACTACTACTCCTCCTGGGAAGGTATTCCTTACATTCCCTCTCCTTCCTTTCCTTCCCACCTCCTGCGTAATTCATTCCCTTGTAAATGTACAGTTCCAATAATATTGCCTTAATAATAATTCTATATTTGGATAGTCCTGTACTTTGAAATCACTGAAAGTGAGGATGTGACAGAAGTAGAGAGTAAATCAGCCAGTCCACAGAGTCAATGAAGCCCATGGGCTGGGTATTTACTGCCTGCTGGGGTAGTTAGTTGGGATAGTTAGTTGCTTGGGATGGTTCTTCATTCCCATTTTCCTTTTTTTCTCACTTCCCCCTTCTTCCAACTTTTTCAGCTCTACAAGTGGCTATTGGATTGCCCTTTTTTCTTATCCTTTTATGTCTCTATGTGGTCCCATTGGGGATTTACTCTCCCTGCATTCAGGAGAAGGATAAATTGGGACCCAAGCCAGACTTCTTTGGACATAGAGGTGCACCCATGGTAGGTCTGAGCATCGTGGACATGGGTGAGTACAGGTGTGCATGGGGTGTGTGGATGAGAGAAGGGGACCTCAGAACCATAGGAACCCCTGGAGAGGAAAGGGATTGGCTTGACATGACGAGAATAAAGAGTTAATTGTAGAGATTAGACTTTAACCTAGGTCACCTAACTCTCAGTCCATTTCTCTCTACTGTGCCCAGTGACATTGCCTCAGATGAGCAGAGTCCCAGAATCAGATTGGGTAGAGGAGAATATAGGCAGTCTATTTGAAAAAAGAGCTGACGGAGCCAAACTCTGCTTCCTAAAGCCCTGTCATTACTAGGCTCCCTCTCTACCATAAAAGGGATGTTGGGAGGAGAGATCTGAGGTATAGGGCCTGATGTCCTTTTCTTCCACAGCTGGGGCCTGAGAATACCATGATGTCCTTTGAGAAAGCTGTTGAACATGGGGCTTTTGGGCTGGAGACTGACGTATACTTAAGGTAGGAAAGCAAGGGCCGGGGTAGGGAGGAGATAAGGCCAATGCCATGAAAGATGACCAGCCTGGCCCAAGTTGTAGAAAGCACAAGTCCTGGAGAGTTTCTTCTGTGTTCCTATGGCACATACACACATAGCACATACACGAACTACTTCTCCATTACAAACCATACATCTTTCACAGGCTCATAAATTATACACACTCTATATAGTCTCTGCACATGATTCAAATTTGTCCCCACTACCAACCATGCTTACAACTTAACCCCAAGCACTACCTTAGCAATGTATTTAACTAACACTCCCTGGGCATCTACTATATTCCAGGAGTTCTTCTGAGTGATAGGGAAATGAGTAAGATATAGTCCTGACTAAGAGATGTTCCAAGCCAGTGAAGCAGACATGGCATGTTTACAAATAACCATGGTATAAGACCATTTGTGGTGAGTGTCTTTCAGAGAAGAATAAGTAAAATGCAGCAGAACCTCAGTGGAGGAAAAGGCCACCTCCTACTGTGTGTAAAAGATCTATGTCCTCAGAATTGTGTTTGAGTTGAGACTTGAAGGAAAAATATTATTTTACCAAGCAGAGGTGGGGAAAGAGGGTATTCCAGGCAGAGGCAACACCTTATTCAAATGCATCTAAATGAGAAATGACAAGTTTGTAGATCAGTGAGCTAACCTGTATGGATTCCAAAAGTGATATGCTTTGGGGGCAGGAGAGGCTATGTGAAGAGGAAGTATAGCTGCAAGGCTCACTGAGGCTGGATCATGGAGATGGCTAAATGTTTAAGGCAGCTATGGAAGGTTTTAGGGGACAGACTACTTTATTATTTTAGAAAGATATGTTTTAGAATGACTCCTCTGGCAGTCCATGAGGGAGAATTGTCAGGGAGATGAGTAGTAGGCTATAGTAGTGTCAAAGGGAAAACAAAGGAAGACTTGGATCAGAGCAGGGGCAAGGACAAAAAGACATGATTTGCTGTAGAATCTATGTATCTGAGCAGCTGGAAGTAGAAAGGCTTCATCTCTAGCATGGGTATATTAGTGAATGTGGTGTGTACAAACTCCCTTCACAGCCATTCTATGAGGCAAACAGAAATGAAATGAACATTCTATTTCACAGATGAGGAAATGTGGTTTGAACCTGGATTCAAAGAAGAAATGTATTGCTAAGATCATAAGGCTAGAATGTACATGATAAAGGCAGGATTAGAACTAGATTTCCTGATCCCAGCCTGGGGTTCTTAACATTATTCAACAATGACAACTGTTCCATGAAGAATATTTGAATCAGAGTTGAAACTGGATGCTCTGTCAGAGCTCCTGGGTTCACTCATGGCACTGCCTGGTGGTCGTGGCGTAATGTCGTAAAGCTGCTGAGCCAATAACTCCTGGTACATTGCCTTTCTGTCTTCTCTTCTGTGACTTCAATTTTGATGTAGATGATCCTTGCAACCTCTCAGTTTCTCTGCTTGTTGACATCTTCATTTCCAGCGATCATCTCTTCCACATACCTCTACCATCCACATTGATGACCATACCCTAAGCTTCATCATTACCAAATATCGCATATCGGGTCGGAGTCCAGGCAGGACACGAATACCACACCAGTAACTTGAACAGGAAAAATGTAATATCAATATTTTACTAAGTAGTAAAATATGGTTAACTACTAAAAGAGATGAAAGAGGACCCTGGGGAGTACAAAAGTAGCAAGTGCAGCTACTGGACAAAATGGAGTAGCAAATTCCACCCTATTCTTTCCAAGAATTACAGAAAAAGAAAAAAATTAAAAACTGGAAAAACACAAAGCAAATGACAGAAGACTCTGAATGGTGGAGAAAAAAGGTAGACTGGCTAGGGTTCATAAGACTCAAGGAACTACCTAGTAGGAGGTGAGATCCCTGTTGTTTTTGTTGTTCTTTTATTTTTTCCTGACATGAGCTCTGGAGAGACCTGAAACCCAGAAACACCTACAGCTGTAGACAAAAAAAAAAAAAAAAAAAGATAACTCCACAAAAATCTGCTCTTTTTAGCCAAAGGACTGGGAGAAAGGTAGCCCAGCAGGATATAAACATTTTGACCATACCAGCCCTACTCAGGTGAACACTGCAAAAAAACCACTCCCCTTTCTCTTAGCACCTGGGGCTGTGGCTTGGAGATTATGGGCAAATCTCTGTCTTCCATTTCTGCCCTGAAATAAGAGGTGGTACCGTCGTCCTCCCTCCCACAGCTAGAGACGGGAGAATTATTGAGAGAAGTTATCTAGAGAAAGTGACTTTTTATTGTGGTGAAATATACTTACCATAAAGTTTATCATTTTAACCATTTCTAGGTGTACAGTTCAGTGGCATTAAGTACATTCACCGTGTTTTGCTGCGGTCACCACCATTCATCTCTAGAATCTTTTCATACTCTCAGTAAAACTGTACCCATTGAACAATAACTCCTTGATCTCCCCTCCCCCTGCCCCCAGGCCCTGGCAACCACCATTCTATATTCTCTCTCTCTGAATTTGACTACTCTAGTTATCTCATATAAGTGGAATCATACATTATTTGTCCTTTTGTGTCTGCTTATTTCACTTAGCATAATGTCAAGGTTCATCTTATTATAGCATATGTCAGAATTTCCTTCCTTTTTTTTTTATTGTGTTAAAAAAACACATTAAATTCCCTATCTTAGTCATTTTTAAGCATACAATTCAGTAGTGTTAAGTATATTCACATCGTTGTGAAACAGATCTCTAGAACTTTTTCATCTTGCAAATATGAAACTCTATACCCATTAAACAACAACTCTCCTTTTTCCCTGCCCCTCAGCCCCTGGTAACTACCATTCTACTTTCTGTTTCTATGAATTTGACCACTTTAGAGACCACTTTAGATGCTTCATATAAGTGGAATCATACAATATTTGTCTTTTTGTGACTGTCTTATTTCACTTAGCATAATGTTTGTAAGGTTCATCCATGTTGTCACATGTGTCAGAATTTCCTTCCTTTTTCAGTATTCCATTGTGCATGTATACCACATTTTGCTTATCCATTCACCTGCTGATGGACATTTGGATTGCTTCCATCTCTTGGATATTTTGAATAATGCTGCTATGAACGTGAGTGTCCAAATATCTTTTCAGGACCCTGCTTTCGTTTTTTGGGGGTATATACCCAGAAGTGGAATTGCTGGATCATATGGTAATTCTGTGTTTAATTTTCTAAAGAACTGCCGTGCTGGAAAAAGGGATTTTAAAAAATTGTATATAAAATCCTGGGCAGACCTTTGTATAACCCATGCATGAAACCACACAGAAACAACACAGCAGAAGATTTGATAACTGAATGTTGATCTGGAACACCATCCAGGTTTTAGATTGATCTCTGGGTAGCACATAGTGGGAAAGGGCAGAAAAGCACTGCAAAGCCTTTAAAAACTAAATTGGCATTTGAACCACAATCCACAAAACAGGTTGACTATCTGCCAAGATGAAAGATTTACATAGTAGCCAGAGTCATAGAATACACAAAATGTCCAGGATATAGTCCAAAATTACTCACTTTACCAAGAACCAAGAAAATCTCAACTTGAATGAGGAAAGATAATCAATAGATGTCAACATCAAGAGAAACAGATGTTGGAACTATCTAAGTATTTTAAAGCAGCTATCATAAAATGTCTCCAACAAACAATTATGAGCACTCATTAAACAAATGAAAAAGTAGAAAGTCTTAGCAAAGAAATAGAAAGAATAAGGAAGAACCAAGTGGAAATAGAAGTTCTTTAGACAAAAGAAAATGGTTAAAAAGTGAACTTGTATACATATATCAAATTATTATGTTGTATACCTAAAACTAATACAATGTTATATGTCAACTATATCTCGATAAAATGGGGGGAAAAGTCATCTTGGAACATCAGGAATAAAAAAAGAGCAATGGAGAGGGTAATATATAAATAAATAAAATAGACAGTTTTCTTCCTCCAGAGTTTAAAAATTATGTTTGATGGTTAAAAGCAAAAATCATGGCATTGTCTGATGTGGGTCTCAATATATTTTGAGAGATTTAAGACAACTATATTATAAAGGAAGGGGATAAGGTAAAGGGACTTAAAAAGTGTCTGGGTTTCTACATTCTACTTGAAATGGTAGAATGTTGACAGTATTAGAATGTGCTAAGTTAGGTAAATATATATTATAATCTCTAGGGCAACCACACCAAAATATTATACAGAGAGACATACTAAAAAATACTATAGATAAAAAATGTTTGAATGACCAACAGGAAAGCCAGAAAGAGGAAACAGAGGAACAAAATCAGAGGGAACAAACCTAAAACTAATATTAAAATGGCAGACTTAAATCCTAACATATCAATAAATATATTCAATGTAAATGATCTAAATATACCAATTAAAAGACAGAGACTGGCAGAATAGATTTTAAAAATATGACACAACTATATGCTGTCTACAAGAAATTCACTTCAAATACAATGATATAAGTAGGTTAAAAACAAAAGAATGAACAGACACTTCTCCAAAGAAGATATACAGATGGCCAATAGGCACATGAAAAGATGTTCAACATCATTAATCATCAGGGAAATGCAAATCAAAACAACACTAAGATATCACCTCACGCCCGTTAGAATGGCTATAATTACCAAGACAAAAAACAACAAATGTTGGAGAGGATGTGGAGAAACAGGAACCCTCATACACAGCTGGTGGGAATGCAAACTGGTGCAGCCTCTATGGAAAACGGTATGGAGATTCCTCAAAGAATTAAAAATAGAGATGCCCTATGATCCAGGCATCCCACTACTGGGAATCTATCCAACAAACCTGAAATCAACAATCCAAAGAGGCTTATGCACCCCTATGTTCATTGCAGCATTATAAAATTATAAATAAAAAAAACAAAAAAAAGAATGAAAAAATATACTATGCAAATTCTAATCAAAGCTGGAGTTGCTATATTAATATTAGACAAAATAGACTTCA